GGGTTAAGTGACTTGCTCAAGGTCACACATTGGTCCTTTCTTTTGAGGAAACTGAATTAAAACTTTCAAAAAAAAATCATGACCAAATCCCAAAGAAAGTCCCCTTGGGTTTGCATACCTGAATGCTCCCACTGGCTAGACGTCAATATTGCCGTCACCCTTTTATGGACACACCTAGACACCACTTCTTCCTCCTCCACATGTGGCAAGAGACTGTGAAGAAATCCCTTAGTCCGACATATGCCTTCCTGGCTGACATGTGACTGCCATAACTTAGGATATTTGACATGACACAGGATGGGGATAATTACATCATCCTCAGTCAAGAAGTGGGGGCTTCCCAGGACTGTCCTTGTGCTGTCTTCCTTAAGCCACTTACCCAGAAACACACAAACACCCCGACCCTGCCCCCGCCACACTGGATCCAACCATCCTAAGCGGCCTGAGCCTCCTTTTCCACATCTTTGAAATTGCAAGAATAATATCCACGCTCTACATCACAGGGTTTTATTGAGGAAACAACTCCATCAGCCTTAATGCATTAGGTGTGTTAGGATGGTTCTTGAGCTTTGCATGGGAGATCTGAAGCTAGAACCATCCCCCCTGCCACAAGTGCCTCTAGCCACATTCCCACATCCTACCCATTATTTACTGCAGCCTTTTGTTGGGAAAATCCAAGTGCCCAGGCCAACATCCGTGCCACTGATTAGGAGAAAGTTCACAGAATTAAGTCCCTGCCCTGGAAACAACATTGGATAACAGTGTATACGTAGCCTTAAACTCATATTGCTAATATTTGGTTTACTATGGGTATGTTTCTCCATTAACCCATTTATCTTGATTGTCGTGCCCTGTTAGAATTTCTGCTCCTCTCTGTAAGTTGGCATCAGTAAAGGTTGAAGGGGTTCATGTAACCAAATGAAAATTAAGTGTCCCAAAAGAGTGCAGCTTTAAGCTCTCAACATATTAAAGCGATTAAATATTTAATGGATTAAAACTGCTCTAAGACTTCTGGGACACAGTATGAATGATACCTGGATTAGAAGATTCATCTCTAGCATCTGTTATGTGTTTGGTAGCTGTTGTAAATATATATATATTGTGAGTTTTTATCATTTACCAGCATGGTATAGTGCCCTTGGAGTTGGAAGAGACCTAGGTTCAACACTGAGGAGTTGACCATGGACAAGTCACTTAATCTCTCTTATAATTCCCTTAGTACCCACCTCATGGCCACCTAGGTGGCAAAGCATATAGAGTGTCAGACCTGGAGTCAGGAAGAGTCATTCAAATCTGGCTTCAGAAGTTTACTAGCTATGTGACCCTGGGCAAGTCACTTAACCCTGTTTGCCTCAGTTTCCTTATCTGCAAAATGAATTGGAAAAGAAAATGGCAGACCACTCTAGTATCATTCTATGAGATGGCTTGAGAGGTCCCTTCTAGATCCATAATTTTGATACAGTGGAAATCAGAAAATACTTTGGCATGGAGAGCTGATCTGGGTAGCACCAATTTTCTCATTGTTTTTGGCTTTTATACCTCTTGATTTTTAGAGAATAGCCACCATTTTTCTTGGCCTTCTTAAACTCTGCTTTCTGAGTAAAGGGGGTGATAGCATCTATTGAACTTACCTTCTAGGACTGGTAAGGATCAATTAAGATAAGACAGCATATGGCTTTGTCAGCTTTAAGGAACTCTTAAGAATATGAACTCTTTTTATTCCTAGTTCTGGAAGGGATGGCAGCTCAGGGATCTTGGAGGTATGTATAGATAGTGTGTTTTGTATTCAGTAGGTACTTAATAAATGCTCTACTCTATAGGCCAAAGAACATTTATTAAGCACCTACTGTATATATTGTGCTAATCAATGGGCAGAGCACATTAAGGTTTACAAAACACAATGGGAAAATTGGCACTACCCAAATCAGTTTTCCATGCCAAAGTACTAATCAATGGGCGTACAAAGAAAGGCAAAAACCAGCCCATGGTCTCAAGGAACCCACAGTCCTGATAATCATGACAGTTATTGTTATTATATGGACCTCTCTGGGCCTTAGTTTCATCATCTGTAAAATGGGGAAGTTGCCTTAGGATCTCTTAAGTGCCTTTCTATTTCTTGAAACCTAAATTTTTTGGGGAAATAAAGATAATAATAGTATTCATATAGTGTTTTAAGGTTTTAAAAGGACTTTACCAATATATCACCTGATCCTTACAGCATCCCTGAAAAGAAGGTGGGATAATTATTCCTATTAGAAAAATGAAGAAATTGAGGCAGACAGCAGTTTCCCAGAGTCACATGCACAGCTAGTAAGAAAGAATATACTTTTCTCTTTAGGGCTTGTTTTGCTTAGCTAGACAACGAAGATGGCTCATTTTTATCAGGACTTTTAAAAAGTGGGTTGTTACTTGAGTTATGGGTCTGATTCTGAGGTTGAAAACTCTGCCATTAATTTTCCGTACTGAGAAATAATATTTCTAAGACACATTCCATGTCCACATCAGATGATTTCCTTAGGCCCTTGCTACATCTCAGATAAAATGCAGAATCCTCTGTCTGGCCTTTAAAGCCCTCTTCGATCTGGGCTCCAGCCTGTCTTTGTAGACCTCTTTCATGTCCTCCACATTCCAGTCAGCCTGGCCTGCCTGCTCTGCCCTGAGCTTGGCCTTCTGTCTCTGGAGTTCAGTCAGGCTGCTCTGCATGCCTAAGCGTGCTCGAGGTACGTTCCCTCCTCACTTCTACCTCTTAGCATTTATAGCTCAGGTTCCAGGTCCTAGAGGAATCCAGCCTAGCTCAAAATAATTTGTATTTACTTAGCTGGGGCCATCTTACCTCCCCCCCCCCCACTAGAATGAAAGGAGAAGACAGGGTCTGTGAGGTTTTATTTGTTTGTTTGCATATCCCTAGCTCTCAGTACCATTCTTTCAACATAGTAGCTCACTAGTAAATGTGTTTTTTTGGGGGGCAGTGTAGGAGGGTTTTTTGTTTTTGTCTGGTCAGTCCTATGGCATGGTGAAGAAAAACAATTTTTCCTGCTTCCAGTCAGAGTATTTGAGAGATTGATCAAACAGATAAAATTGGGGGTAAGAAAGAGGAAGAGTTATCTGTAGGTCAGAGCATTGTCACGCTAGTGAAGGAACGGTACTGCGGTGGTAGTGGTTGGTTGAGATGGGCCCTGGCAAATAGAGATTGGCAGGAAATTTGGTCACACCTTCCACTTCTAACCCTGTTCCCTCTTTTCTTTCTCTTTCCTTTCTACCTTTAAGGCCATAATATTAAACTGAAATATATAGATACAAACATATCATTTGCTTGATATATTGAGCACAGTGTGCAAAGTATAATACTGGGTGCCAGGGCTGCCCAAACAAATAAAATACAACAGTCCCTGCCTTCTTTCCTTCTATTAGGGGAATGTAAGATGTAACCAGAAAAGGTTTGAGTTAGGTTGGGGATTCAAACAACAATATAGTATTTTTATATGATTTGTTCATAATTCATTTTTTCATCAAGTTGCAGTAGACAGAGAGGGGGTCACAAAGCCAGAAATACCTGGGTCCAAATCCCATACCAGCTGAGTGGCCCTGGACAGATCACCTAACCTCTCTTTGCTCTAGGCAACTCTCTGGGACTGTTGAAGTGCTGATGTGCATTGATAAAAAGAATTTCCTCATTTAATAATTCTCCCTACTGATGAAATCACAGACCCTGTCTCTGTGCCAGTTCCTGGGTCCTATCTTTATTTTTCAGCTACTGTGTTGTGTTTGCCATGGGGTAAGGAACTTGGCTTCTGGGGCTCCGAGGACTCAGATAAAATGAAGAATTTGGATTAGGTGGTCTTGGCTTTCAGGAGAGTCTCAGGATTTTATTCCTGGACAGTATCTTAAAGGTCTAACCCCCTTCCTTCGAAGATAAGAAAACTGAGGTCTTGAAAGACGACCTGGTACACAGGTATTAAGTGGCAGGGCTGGGATTTGAACCCAGTTCTCACCCCAAAGCCAGTGTTCTGCCAGGCCCTTCCCAGTCTAACATTCTGCAGGTAGGAATCTCAGGGCACAGCCTTTTCCTCTGTGTCCTTCCTGATTTCTTTTTCCTTATGGATCGCACAGGACTGTGTTGCTTCCTCAGCATGTAAATATATAGCCCTAAGTAGATCACTGATTTCAACCTGGTTAGCTGGACCTTGGTGATCATCTAGTCAAAGCTGCCCATTTTACAGTTAGGGAAACTGAGCTTTAGAGGTAAAGTAACTGAGCCCATGATCACAGCAGTCATAAGGTAGCCTTTTCTATGTATATGTTTGTATATATGTATAGGTACATACACACACACACACACACACACACATGTACCTAGTCAGGTTCATAGATTTTTTTTGAGCTGAAAGGAACCTCGAAGATCATCTAGCTCAAACCACTCTTTTTACATAGGAGGAAACTGAGTCCCAGAGAAACAAAATGACTTGCTCAATATCACACGACTAATATGTCACAGTCGGGATTCCATCTCAGGCCCTTGGACCTCAAATCAGATTCTCTTGCCACTGTACTTAGTGTATTAGTATTGATGTCTTGATGACATTTTATGTAGTTGTAAAATAGTACTTTAGAGAAATTGAAAACATACCTATAATGCAGTAATTGTTATATTTCTAAAAGAGATCTTTTAAGTTGTCATTAACATGCCTTTGTGTTAGGTATTAAAAAAAAAAAACAAAAAAACCCACAGCCATTTTGACTTAGGACCACACTATGTATGTTAAGGCAGTAGAGGATGTCTTTCTCCCCTCACTCCCTCCCGTATTCAGCCACTGATTCTAAAAGCAGCTTTTCTGTGTGCGTTGTGTGGACGTATCCATCAGGGCAGCAGCTGGACAAATTCAGGAACACAAAGTACTATTTAGGAAAAGACTGGCAGCCCATTTCAGTTGCTTCCCGTTCCCCAGTATACATTATCATGGTGCACTTTTAAAATTATGTGAAGTAATTATTTTACTTACTTTTCTCCTATAGTCTTCTCTTTTGAAGGCATCAAATACCCCTCATTTAAGAAAATCTTCTTGATGGAGTCCTTTAAAATACATTTCTTTCCTAACTAAAATGTTCAGAGGCTGCCTGAGTCCTGATGGTTCCAGCCCCAGCAAAAATCAGGAACTAGCTCTTTTGATTAGAAACCTCAAGATAGCCAGGCTGCCTTTCACAGAATGTTGCAGAACTGAGTTTCCGTCTGTGCCTTTTAAGGGGTTGGCAGTAGGAAACCGGGAGTGAAGAGCGAGGTATTTCGCATGTAAGCGTGGTCTTGCATCTGAATGTTTGGATGTGATCTTTAAGTGATCCCAGACCACTTGCCTCTTTGATCACCCACCTCTCCTATTCTGCGCTCTCCTCCTTCCCCCTAAATGAAATTTGCTCGATATATTTTAAGCTCTAAAGGAAGAGAAAAGTGCTAGTCCCTACTTTGCAATTCTACATATGCTCGCTCCAAGGTGGAAAACAGATGACATTTATGGTGATCAAACACTCAGATAATATTCTGTTTGCTATATCTGAACCACCTTCCTCCAAACATTAGTAAAATAGCCCAGTGTAAATATAGCTAGAGATTAATAGCAAGAGAGGAGGAAGAGGTTACCTAGTGATGCAGGATGGAAATTTGGGCAGCGAAGTGTTTGGACACACAGCAGTGATCACAGTTGCTAAAGAAGAGATTTTCAGTTTTGTTTTGTTTTTTTTTTTTGGTCAGAATTTATGCATGATTGTGGAGGATTCAGATATAAGAAGTGTAGCTTCTCCTTTTACCTCTGTTATTTTCTGGATGGTATCAGAGGGTCACAAGAACCTTAGAGATCTTCTGATCCAACCCTTTATTTTACAGATAAAGAAACCGGCCTTTAAGCAAGTGGAGTGACTTATCCAGAGTCACATTTGTTAGAAAGGAAGCACAGGGAGGATTTGACCTGATGCCATTTGTGTCCAAATCTAACAATGTTTGGACCATAGTGCACTCTCTACATATGCATAGTATCTGTCAAATGAACAAGAGCATGGACTAGATGCTTTTTCAGTTTGTATCTGACTTCATTGTCGTTTATGATTCTCTTAAAAAAAATTTTTTTCAAAGTCATGTATCAGTTAATCTTTTGAGTTTTCTTTCAAGCTCCATAAATTGCAGCATTAGAAATTTCTGTCTCCACTCCTGCCTCCCCAGGGCATGGAATCCTTCTAGGAACATCACAGGAAGAAACCTTAGTGATCATCACATCCTATGTTACAGGTGAAGAAGCTGAAACTCATGTTGGTAAAGTGTCTCGCCCTAGATCTCACTGCAGATAAATGCAAGAGTTGATCTTTCCCTGTGTGTGATTGCTTCTAGATTCAGAAGTACACCGGGAGGCTTGTTACAAGAAACAAAATGAATTCCAATATTAACCAGTGTCCAAAAAGTACATGTCTTCTTCTGGACCACTCTGATCCCATCTCTTCACTCTTATCATCCACTTTCTCATTGTCTTTGTTGTCTAAGGTGTTGATTTGCCATTACCTAGTAAAATATTTCTTCGTCCTTAAGGGCTAGGGTTGGTCCCCCGTTGTACTTGTATCCTCTTTCTCATGTGTCAGCTTGCTTCTTCCAGTTAGGCATTCCCCATTCCCAGAGTCTTCCTGGGTCCAGTCATTTTACCTGGGTTCTGGTCTGACGTTTGGACCAATTATGCAAGTCAGCTCACCTTTTGTTCCTCAAGTTCTTCAAGACAGAGAGAGGTTTAATCCGGACAATTTTTAAGGTCCCTTCCTTTGTGGAAAATTGTCATTATTACATATATATATAACATGTACATATATGGGCAGTTAATAATGCAATTGTTAATTGTGCATTGTGCCAGAATTCTAAGAGAAATTATTCTCTTATTCTAAAATACACTTCCTTGGACCCCAGAGCCCATCTGGATTATATGAGAGCCTTTGAAATGTGAGAGTCCAGAAATGTGACAGAAAGCCAGTGTTTAGCACAGGTTCCCGGCATGTAGTAGACTCTTAATAAATGTTTACTGACTGATTGATTGGAATGGCTATGCCACTGAGTCAGAGAAAGATTTGGGTAATGTGAGTGCAGAATTTGATTGGTTCCCTTCATGCCAGTTAGAGAGTAGCACTTACTTGAGGGCAGCAGCCCTTATTTGAAAGGTTGTTGTCACGTGGAGGGGGAAGGGAACAAGCATTTATTAACCACCTACTGTCTGCTAGGCATTGTGCTAATAAGTGCTTTATGAATTTTAGCTCATGAGTTAGACTTGCTTTGCTTGGCCCCTAGAGGACAAAATTAGGAGCCCTAGAAGAGGGAGGGATAGGAGTCGGGGTTTTATAGAGGTAGATTTTTTTGGTTTGATGTAAGGAAAAACTTCCTAACTATTAGAAGTAGCCCCAAATAGCTTGGGCTTTCTTGGGAGAGGATGGCTTTCTCCTCATTAGAAGTCTTTCATCAGACTTCTTGGTGATTCTTTTTCAGGTATGGCTTGAACCAGCTGGTCAATGAGGGAGGTCTCCTTCAACTCTTAAGATTCTGTGATTTTTCTGAATGAGAAGCCTCGGGAAGTAGTGAGTGGGCTTCCAGACACTGAAATCATTTAAGCACAGGATAGTTGGAGTAAGAAACACTGAACTAAATCCTGAGATGTTGGATAGAGTGTAGATGTAGACTAGTGTAAAGATGGAAATGGGTTACAAACTGGACTAATTGTAGTCAGGTTACAGGCTGGACCTGGGGACCCCTGACACCCTTTTCAACTCCTGAGATTCTGTGATTTTTGACATTAAACTATGGTTTGTATGGTTACACAGCACCACTTCTAACAAACCCATGGAAACAGCAAGTAATTTCAAGTAATTTCTTGCTGCCTCCTCCTTCCATCATCCCATCTAGCCTCTCTCCTCACTGCCCCACTGAGCCTCCCCTGTGACTTTCTCTATATGTGGTCTGTAAGATCACTATAGTATATTTTATGGTTAGTCCCGTTCTCTTTGAATTCAACTTCCCCTATGAGATAAGGGCAGCTAGGTGTTGCAATGGATAGCATTCTGGGCCTGAAGTCAGACTCATCTTCAAGAGTTCAGGTCCAGTGTCAGAACATTTACTATCTATGTGACCCTAGACAAGTTACTTCACTGTGTTTGCCTCAGTTTCCTCATCTGTTGAATGAGCTGGAGAAGGAACCGGCAAGCCACTCTAGTATCTCTGCCAAGAAAACCCCGAAAGGGGTCGGAGAGTTGGACACGAGTGAAAAATGACCAAGCAGCAACAGATGTCTGTCTATCAATCTGTGATGCTTTACATTTTATAAAAATGAGATCAGGAGCTTTTTCCCAAGCTGTCTTTCTCTCTTTCCGTTACCTAGTCCAGTCTGCAGTAGTCTTCTCTGTAAGCAGCAGTCAAGTCCCAGGATGTTGCCACATTTTCTGCGAAGCCAGGCTTGGGAAGGGAGCAGATGAACCGGCCTCCCAGCTCCCCTTAAGCCTGCAGGTGTGTTACCAGATTTGACATCCTTGGCCCCGTGTCAGTTCTTGACTAAGCCTGCTACCTGGTTCACTCCAGTCTTCCAGCCAGTTTAACCCCTTGGCCGCTGTAAGCGATTACCCAGGGCTTAGTTCTCATTGTGATGCCTGTGAGACATTACATTAATATCATGGGTTCCTTTTGGAATCCTGTATTTTTTATTTTATGAGTTTAAAAAACTTTATTCTGAGAAGGAGCCCATGGAGTTCATCAGACTGCCCAAGGAAGGGGGTAGTTTGAGGTCCGTGACAAAAATGGTGCCGGGCCCCTGTTTAAAGTCCCATCTGCATTAATGAATGGGTTTGCCTCACCGAAACCTTTCCCTGTCATCTTGAATACCAGTGCCTTCCCTCTGTTGATTATTTTGAAATTTATCTTGTCTATATCTTGCTTGTGGGGGCAGCTAGGTTGCACCATAGTGGATATAGTGCTGGGCCTGGAGTCAGGAAGACTCATCTTCCTGAGTTCAAATCTGGCCTCAGACACTTCCTAGCTCTTTGACCCTGGGCAAGTCACTTCACCCTGTTTGTTTCAGTTTCCTCATCTGTGAAGTGAACTGGAGAAGGAAATGGCAAACTAATCCAGTATTTCTGCCAAGAAAACCCCAAATAGGGTCACAACAAGTCAGACATGACTGAAACGGATGAACAGTAAATATCTTGCTTGCTTGTACTTGGCTGTTTGCATGCTGGCTCCCCAGTTAGGCAGAGCTCATCAAGAGAAGAGGACTGTCTTTTACTTTACTTTATATTCCTAGGGCTTAGCACAGTTCCTGGTACACAGTTGGCACTTAATAAATGCATATTGACTGACTAAAGAAGTCACAAGTCTGGACCCACAAAATATGCACTATTTGCTACACAGTTATTAGGGGAAAGTACTTTGCAAATTGTAATGTGCCAAAGAAACATGAAGCTATTGTTATTATTCATATTAGCAGTAGTACAAAAAAGAGTATTAGTTATTAATTTAATTACTAATAAAAGAGTTACTCTAGCTAGGCTTATGTCTAACTTGCATGACATTCGTGGCCTCTTAAAAAAAACCCAAAGCATTAGAATTTTCTATTTAGAATTGGAAGCAACATTGGAGGTCTTTTTGAAAGCATCTGTAATTTGTTTTGCTTTTCTGTGCTTATGTGGGAGGGCTTTCATTGAGGAGGAAAGGGCAAGGGGACTTATTAGACAAGTGAGGGATAGTAATGAAGAAGAGGAAGAAGAGGAAGAAGAAGAAGAAACAGGCGCCAGAGCAGAAGAAAGCTGAAAAGGTGACCCAGAAAAGCAGAGCAGTATTGGACCTTTTGAAAGAGTTTACTATATACTTAAAGTAATCCAACTTCACAAGCCAGAGATTAGCAGCCCCTTTTTGTTTTGGTTCGTTCTTCTGTAAAGAAATGTTGACATTGGTCAAGGTTGTGCTAATAAAAAACAAGTTCTAAAGCATCATATGAATATTCTTGGTTTAAGAACTATCTAAGATCGTCATTACCAACAATAATGTCTGGTCTCTTTGGATACCCTGCACCTTGGATCTCAGTTGCTTGTATTTTATTCAATTTGATTTCTTTCTTCCTCGATGTCTTATAAAAAGAGCAGTGACATGTTCTCCTGACCCACGGTTTGTTCCAGAAAGCCTGGAAGCAGGAACGCAGGT